GACGACATCGAGAGGGCAGGACCTCGGGATCCGCGCGGGTTTCCGAAAGCTTCTTCGGGGGCGGAAAAGAGGGGGGCGATGACTAGGGGGGGGGGATATCACGGCGGGGGCCATGATATTTGCCCCGATTTCATGGCGCCTCTTCTTATTTCATTACCTCCCTGGCCCCCCAGCTGGGCCGCGCACATGCCGCCGGCCATGATTTGCACCCCCCCTCTTGGACACCCCCTCTTGGCCGCTCCCGATTTCTGCTCGCGCCGTCGCTTTTTGTGCCTCGGGCGCGTGGAGCTGACGACCCTGGAGAAGTTCGAGCGGGCCGTGCAGTTCCTCCGCGACCTGGGGCCGCCGTGCACCAACAAGCAGCGGACGGAGACGTGGGAGATGGCGCTGCGCCAGGCGCTGGCCTCCTACCTGGACGGGATGCAGGCGGTGATCCAGGAGGACCCCCACGACGCGCAGGCCTAGAGCTTGACACCAGCACCAAGGTCGGTGGTGTGCCTCCACCGAGGGGAGGCGATCCCGATCTCGGTGGTGGTGGTGATATTCTGGCTTCCAAGGTGGCCGAACAATTGCCACCAACACCGAAATCCAGGATCATCTTCCCCCTGTGGAGGCAACCCCCTGGGCTGGTGTTGGTGCCAATTTCCAGGCCTCCAAAAGACGCGCTCGCGTCGTGGCAGAATCACGACGGGAGTTGTTCTGCTGTCTTCAGCGTCCCGTCGTCCCGGGGCCCTCGCCGGGCCTCGGGGCCGTCAAGCAACGACCCGCGACGAGAAGCCGGCCCCGGGGAGGGGGTCGGGGTTTCCGGGGACCACGCATGCATTGAAACAAGAGTCAGGGTATCGCATGTCTGGGCCTGGGGCTGCTGGCCGCAAGCTGGAGCATGCAGTCCTGGCCTGGGGTGGGCCCATCAGGGGCAAACGTTAGGAGGGGATAGGCTCAGGGGGGGATGCACCGACCCCCAATCGCCCACTGATCCCCGATAGTGGCCTGATGGCCCACCCCGCAGAGGACCGTGCGCTTTTGCTATTGGGAGCCCATCGCCGATCTAACGGCGATGTGCCGCCGGCTCGAGGTCGACGTTGTCCCCCCCGAGCCAGCCCCCCCCCCCCTGTGATCGTTTTCTTATTCATCGTTTTGCCGATCGGCGCAGACCCTCGCACCGCCCCCCTCCCTCCTCATGGAGTAGGTATTGCCTATTTTGGGCGCCTGTTTCGAGCAGGTGGAGTCTCCCCCGTAGGACGCACTGTTGCGAAGAGGCGCACTAAGCAGAGGTCCGACGCTCACTGTACCGTTGCGGAGGCGGAGGAGGAGGAGGAGGAGGAGGAGGAGGAGGAGGAGGAGGAGGAGGAGTTGCCCTGGTCCTCGCGGCGGCACCCCCTGGAGCCAGTCTGGGAGGAGATCTGAGGGGTGGCTGGGCGGGCCCCCTCCCTGAGGCCTGCCTCCCACGCCCTCCAGCTCCCCCTGCACTGCTCGCTCCCCCTGCACCATCTCCCCCCCTCCGTCCCCTCGCCCCTCTCCTTCTGCCTCCCCTCCCCTTCTCCTCCCCCCC